AGTAAACTGTTAACTCTTAATTATTTCTCATCAGTTAATTATTTATAGATGTATATGTTAATGCTTTGTCCATGGTGAAGAAGTCATCTTACAGCCATTTGTTAAGCATTATTTAACACATTGGTTAATCATTTGTACACTTACCTCTTATTTTTTTCATGTGATTTAATCATTAGTAAATACATTATTTAATGTCTTTGGTCATCATTAGTAAATCATTACTAATTCATTACTACTCATCAACTTTTAATATGTAACAGCATTGTTACACCCAAATTTATTAAATTCTTAACCCACATACTCAACTAATGATTTGTTACTCATTTCTTAATGGGGTTATTCCCCAGTATTGATCAGTTACTAAGCACTTGTACATGGTAGTTAAAATAGGTTAAGCAGGGGGTGTTTACTCTTACCACATGACGACCACCCTTCATGGACGCAATATGTTCTTCTAAAGAGAGACTTGTCTATGCTCTAAAAACATTTACAAATGATTTGTTAAGCCTTACTCATGATTAATTGATCAGTTATAACTGGTTAATTAAGTATTTTGTGGGAGCTATTCTAAAGTGAAGCTTGTTTATGCTCTACTAAATATTTACAAAGGTAATGTAAAAAGTCGATTTAAAGAAAGTGAAATTGTCTCATTATAAGAAAAAAATTATAATTTTTTTGTCTAAAAAGGAAAAATATCTTGTCTAGCAAAATTTTCTTAAGAAAACATTGCTTATTTTAAGACATTAAACCTAGCAAGATTTTGTTGCTAAAAACAGTTATATTTTTTCTTATAACAAGATGCAAATACATTTTGAATTATCTTCATCTTTAGACCAAGACATTTTTTCTTAATTTAGGAAATAATAAAAACCAAAATCTTATTATAAGAACAGGCTTACACAGATAGTTTATCAATACCAACCATTTATTTTCTCAAAGAAAATGCAAAGCATTATATCAATGGAAGCACAATCCACCAGATCAAACTGTATAAGATGCAATGACGTCACCAAGATGATATTTCAAAGGCACATAGGTCACATCTTTGTGAACAAAACTGTAATATGGAGTATAGTCTACAGTGTTTTCAGATGAGATCAATTCATTTGCTTGTGCTATGCTTGGAATTTCAATTAAATATGCCCTATAATCTCTATCAACAGTGATATACAGCTGAAGCTCAAAACAATACAAAGCTGGATTTACAACAAATATGTTTTTAATCAGTCCAAACTCAGGTAGGTCAAAATTAACTGTACCGATAATTAAACTTTTACCAGATATGTATTTATTCCTGTTCAGTTTTAACCATTTAACAGACACTGCATGACTGATGTGATCATTTCCAAAAAATGTTTTTACTTTCTCCTTAAGATGACATGTTTTTCACTTCTGATGTGGGTCCTAATGAAAATATTTGGGTTTAGTGGATAGAAGTCTTTTTGCTCCTTTTTTTCAGAAGCATGCTGTATACCCCACTGTCACTTTCTCAGGTTCAACAAACTTAAAAGTTTTTTTGATCACACTGTCCTGTCTGTATGTTGTAGGAACTGTAGCAAATGGATCCTCAATCTGGTCAAACATTGCCATTGTTTCCCCCTCAAGTTCATTTTCTGGATGTTGCTGGAAGACCCTCTAAAACCGACTCTTCAAATTAGACACCAACATACCTTGATACTGCTGTATCTGCCACAACATCATTCACGCCAGTCTAAAAAACAACCACAAAGAAATGTATTAATTAATGATATATATATATATTTTTTAGTTTTGTTTTGTTTTTAATTTATTAATTAATTTATTTTTTGGCTTTACATCCCAACTTTATAAAGACACATACCTGTGAAAGATGGTGCTTTTCTCTTGAACACAAAACAATTGAAGTAGCTTGTCTGGTGAGACTGTCAGCGCCACCCTTTAAAAATAAAATAATAACAAACATTTAATACAAATAAACATTAACTTACAAGCTACAAAAGTCTCACCAAACATTACTCTAGCCAACATATTGGGATGTAGCTCCACTTTTAGCATTTTTCTGTTTTGCACATGAGCAAAAGCTTGTTAAATTAGGTCCTTATTGCATATTATCCTCTTAGAATTCCAGGCCATTTTTGTGAAATCACTCTTGTTCTGACCTCTCCAAACTAAAATGATTGCCATGAGTGAACCCTCAGTTGCATATACACAAGTTTGGGTTTTTTTGTAAGGTAACACCCAATAGTTTCACCCACAGGTGTAAGAATCACTCTAAGTATGTCTGGTAGGTATTTATACACTTTGGCACACACACACCTAAAAAATTATTTTTCTCATCCTCGCCCAAATTTTTTTGTTAAAATTAAGGTGTAGAAAGCTGCAGTAGGTAGCTGGGGACTGAAACACTCTATATTTCTATTGAAAACCATGTTGACCTCTTACATTTCAAATTTGATGAGAATATCTATAAAAATGAGGATTTTAGACTACTTTTATTGCTAGTATATTTAGGCGTTTTCCAGAGGGACTTTTGCTTTATCCAAATTTATCCAAACCTATCCAAACGTTCTCCAAATGGAGACATTTGGAGAACGTTTGGAAAAAATGCAATAACTTTTGAATGCTTCAACCCACAGACATCAATGAGGGCTCTACTGAAAGCTTACACTTAGAGGAATCTTTATCTACACACCAAGCTGCTCTATTCCTTATGAAAATATATATAGCATATCAAAACACAATATAAAATGTATATTTATATATAAAATATAGTCAAAACAAGTGTTATGGGTCAAAATAAATGTATATTTACAAATGTATAACAATGCAAACTGTAAACAAACACATTTCAAACTGTAAACAAACACATTTCAAACTGTAAACAAACACTTCAAACTGTAAACAAACACACTTCAAACTGTAAACAAACACACTTCAAACTGTAAACAACACACTTCAAACTGTAAACAAACACACTTCAAACTGTAAACAAACACACTTCAAACTGTAAACAAACACACTTCAAACTGTAAACAAACACACTTCAAACTGTAAACAAACACACTTCAAACTGTAAACAAACACACTTCAAACTGTAAACAAACACTTCAAACTGTAAACAAACACACTTCAAACTGTAAACAAACACATTTCAAACTGTAAACAAACACACTTCAAACTGTAAACAAACACACTTCAAACTGTAAACAAACACACTTCAAACTGTAAACAAACACACTTCAAACTGTAAACAAACACACTTCAAACTGTAAATAAACACACTTCAAACTGTAAACACACACACTTCAAACTGTAAACACACACACTGCAAACTGTAAACAAACACACTGCAAACTGTAAAAACACTTTTTTCTATTGTCCTTGTTCTTTGTGCCAATCATTATAACAGTCCCTAAACATTTCTTCTTCCACTGAGTCCACCGCGGACACATCGCTCTCCGGTTCCGACAGCTCCTGGTCCGAGGTGTCACTCAGCCTTCTAGTACATATTTCCGCAGCTTCCAAGGCTGAAAACCGCGTCTTCTCTGTTCGTTTAGCCATAACTTCGAAACAAAGGCAAAGCACCAACACGCACGGAGTATGTACTGGAGTATGTACTGTACTATACTGTACTATACTGTACTGATGTACTGTGTACAGTAAACACCTCAAACTGTATATATAAACTCTTTTTTTGACTGCCCATTGGCTATTAGGTAAAGCGTCACTAGTGCGTAACGCGTAACCATTGGCTGCGTAAAAGACGCACGCTTTACGCACACAGTCCCTTTGCGTTTGTGCCGGCGGTTACGCATGATACAGGCGGCGCAGGTATACAGAAAACCATGGCTTGTGATATGTCATTGTGTTCATTGGCTCGTTGACTGTAAGGGAAAATATCACTCCGCGCCTGTAATCAAGTTTGGGTGATTGTGCACGAGGGGAAGTGGGGAGTAAACTTTCTGAGTTCTGTACCACTGATTGGCGGTGTGGGGCTTTAGTAACCGAAAACTTGCACTCTATTGGCTGACCAAAGTGCCAATTAAATGCTAACTCTTTCGTTTAGCATAGACAGTAGCGTTATCGTGCTCAGTAAATATCTTAGCCCTGAAATCGCCAGAAGAAATGCAAAAAAAAGTGACGGATCACTTTTCACGTTTGGAATACTTTGGAATACTTTCCGGCATAGAGGAACTAATTCATTTTGTGGACATATTTTCTTCACTGGATTATATTCTCTGGACCCGTACGGACCAAATGACACCAACTTTCTGGGGATATGTGGATGTTTGACAGAATGAGAGCCCTCAAAAGGTAACCGGCGGGCCGTCAGATCCTTATCAGGTTAAGATATAAATCAAATAATAAGGACCTAATTTAACAAGCTAGCAAAACAGAGAAACATGCTAGTAGTGGAGCTAAATCCATTGTCATAAAATGCTTGTGTCTGTTTTTTAATTTAGCACCAAGCATGGTGAACAGGCAGCGTGTGTCCCCCGCCCTCCCGACCCCCGTCGGAGTAACGGTCTTATCCCCTTCCTCCCCCGCGCAGATCATCTTCTGTCGAACTAAAGGACAAGACTCAGTGAATTCTATGATGAGAGAAATGCTCAATAGATGCATTGTGTAACTAAACAAAATAATCGTTTGAATATTCATGATTTCAATGTTGACCAAAATAAGAGGGATAATGATTTTTTTCCATAATCTAGCAGCCCTGTCTTATACCTCCATAGTAGATGATCTACACACTTTTTCTTATAGAGACTGAAGCAAAAAATATATATAAAATAATACACAGAGGATTACCTGAATGTATGCTGCAGGAGCAGTATCCGATGGCTCAACCGGTGAATCCAGTGTAGATGATGGTTGGTCTGGGCTGGTCCCAGCGCAGGAAGGTTTTCATCCCGGTGTGAAGGAGAGGCGAGCAGGGTGCTCTCATTAAACCCGCCGAACAGTGACATAACCACTGAATTCACCAAAATGATCCAAAATCAAACTGTCTGAATGTGGTCGTGGCATTTCCTCCGTCTCCGCGGGGCATCCGGGTGCTGGTCTGTGTGTTGATCGTGTACAGTGCTCGCAGCACTGCCAGCGGTGTCACCTGCAGGTCGGCCCCGCTCCTCCGCATCCCCGTGCTCCAGACCGGGTCTGTATTCCCAAGTATTGTGATTCCCTGGCGCAGAATTTCTTCCCGGGAGTGGAGCCGCCCTGTGTTGGCCACAGCGAAGATACGTCGACTGACATCTCCGGATATGGTACCAGAGTGAGTTGTACACTCGATTTTTTTTTTCACAGCCATCAATACCACATACCACCCGGAAGTCCGGACTTCGGCTGTGGGCAGAGTTGATGCGACTAAGTAAAGATTTGAGGGTTAGACCGACAAATACAAAGCAAATAACGCAACGCGAAATCATATTTTCTCTCGGTAACACTACAGTCTCTCACGACATGCCGCACAAACTTGTTTACAGTACCTCTATTTTACTCATAATGCCGCTGTACTTTCACGGTGGGTTGAACCACTTATGCAATAAATTGTACAATAAAAGCGGTTCTACCTGAACATTTAATTTATTATACATTCAATTTACATTAGAACAGTCAAATAGATTTTGATAGAGCTAAAATGCTAAACTACACCCAAACCCCTCTCACACATAATGGACTAGTCCAGAGAGCGGCGCTTTGCCATTCAAATCCAAGACCGCGCGCGGCGCGTTCCTGTGATATCGTAACGGCTCTTCTGGAGGCTCGTTTCAACAGGAGCAGGAAAAGATAGATTTTTTTGAGAGAACCCAGTATTAACACGCAATAACTGCAATGGATATACTTGACGAAATTACAGTAGACACTTTAAGAGGTATGTTTTGCAACAATATCAGACTTTTAATGTGCTGTATAGTACACTTAGCTCATAATACTGGCTATTTGTTAAGGACCTAACTAAGTTAATATGGTTAGCTAGAGTAGCTTAAGCATGTAGCCATGAAAGTATGAACGTATGAAAATGAATGCATGTAGTATAATTTTCATTAACTGCTTTTTGTGCAGTGTGTTTTAGCTGCCAATGTTGGGGAAGAATTACTATGGTCACGCTCAAGGGATGACATTAAAGATTTGCTGCCAGGTCCAGAAAATGTTCTCAGGCACAGGGCACTGTGGTTTCTTGTGAACAGTGATGAAAAGGTGAGTATATACATTACTTATGATTCAAATAGTTGATATAGATGAATCAAAACTTTCCATGCAACTTAAAGCAATAAAGATTTAATTACAGAATACTTTTATTTGTTTAGGTTGAAGGTGTTGCCAAAGATGTGGAGCCATCAAAACAATCTGCCATTGCAAATAGCCGCTCTCCAGAAGACAGACCCAATCCCTTAAAGTATCTAGCCATGTCCAGTCCAAAGTATACTGTCTACACAGATAGTGAACTTGAACAAGCCCGTTCATCCTACTTTGAACAAAAACGCCTTGGCTCCACCACTTCTGACTTGTCCAAGGAACTCTTCTGCAGACTGATTAGAAACACCATGACAAACATGGTGTCCATTGCAAGAGCCCTTGAAGACTCAAGGTACCCTTCCAAACATGAGGTTGACACTGTGGCGAAAAGATTAGTCGAGTATTATCCAATGTTAAAGGGAAAAAAAACACCTGAGAGTGAATGGGTCAGTACTTTTCTAGCACAGTATTGTTTATATAAGAATATTTTTCTGATTCCCTTTTATGCATTTTGCCATTTTCTCTATCTTGCAGGGGCATGTCACCAAGAAGCTCATAAAGAGGCTCTCAAACATCAAAAGCCCAAAAAAAGCCAGTGCACCTTTCAAGAAACGTCGCATGAACTATGAAGAGTCTTGCTCAACAGACTTTGATGAAATCTTAACTGGATCAAGCCAAGCATCCACCATCATTCTGGAGAAGTCCCCTGCTGCTGCCAGCACTCCAGAGCCCCCTCCAGACAGCAGTGAAGATGATGCTGGTACAGTATGAAGTTTTACTTTGTATTCATTCAAAGAAAAACATTACAACATTTTTATGTCCTCGCTTAGGGGGTTCTGCTGACACTGACGTCCTGGACAGTCAGAAGAGCCAAGTCAGACACTATAATACCCTCCAAGAGATGTACAAGGCTAAAAAGGCAAATAAAGCTGCTGTCAGCCACTTGCTCAACCTGGAATTTGACTCAAGACGATGCTTCATCACATCAGATGTTCTAAAAGACGATGACAGGCCATCAACATTTTTTGATGTTTACCCTTGTTTCAAAGAATTCGACCATGCAAGTACAACTTCCTTAAACTAGTTACTCTACTTTTACTGTGCTTTAAGCAGTTAGCATTTTTTCCAGGTACTAGATGAGATGTAGAGAGAATTATTCAACCAAAAAACTCCAACTACACTGCTGAGACTAGGGACAGATGGGAAAACTTTTTTTCAAAAGTCAAGTTCTATGGGGTAATGAAGAAAGCCATGAAGCCTCCAAAGACACTCAATAGTGGTAAGATAACACAATTATTAAACTAATGCACCAATGTTATAGCAGATGGTAACTTGTTTTGTCTTTTGTCTGATCATGCCTTAGCAGTGTTTGCAGCTCTACCCCTCCTTTTTCCATCCAATGCACCACCATCAAAGAAATTAGGCTCCTGCGGTGAAGCTTTTTTCACGCACTTAAGGTGAGAATAGCTTTGTGTATGTTATTCTTTCGAAGTAGGATGTTTCAGTGTTTTATAACAGTGGATACTTACCCTTATCATGTTTTGTATCGCAGACATCTGAGGACCCTGAAGGCTATCTTCAAAAGCGGCCACTATCGTGCCCAGTGCTGCTCTTGAGCAAGGACAACTGCATGATCGCAATTGGCAACACACCTGTGACCACCTTTGCACGTGACAAGCTGAATGAAGGACTAGTGTACCTGATGACCTTTTACTACGCCTTTCATCTCACTTAACCAAAGTGTATTTCCACTCTGCTCTCAGTCCTACAAACTTTGTCCATCAAGATTCCATCCATGACAAAGATGCAACATCAAAATACAAAAAAGCCATAACAGAGTGGAAGTCCATCACTGAGTGAGTGAATGTGCAACTATTTTAGTTCATTATTTTTATTACTTAAAATGTACAAACAAATTTTCCAAAACACTTGTGTTGTGCTACCAGAGGTTTTAGCATTTACAAGAAGGCTCTTACATTTGGTTTTCCTTGTAATATACTACTTTGTAATTTAATTAAGAGTGTTTTACTTTTTATTTTAGTTATGTTTACTTAAATCTGCTCTACTGTAGCTATTGTGAGCCATCTGTATTTGATACCATGTTTTCATGGATAAATAAATTAGGAAAGACTTTTGGGGGTTGTCTTGTTTTAAAATTACAGCTTTGAATGGGCATAATTTTAAGATTTACATTATTTATTTATTTTTCTAATTTATGACTAAATTAAGGAAATGCATATAGGTAAATTTTGCTTAAATCTAGCAAGACTGACCTGAAATGTGTATATAATGAGAAAATATTGCTTTGATTTTACAGTATATGAGCAAGTTTTGCTTAAATCTAGGCTAAATTGAGAAAAATTGTATTTATTTTGAGCTACATTTAAGCACATTTGTCTAGAATGTTTTTTAATAAGAATTATTTTCTTAAATTTGACCATATACTGAGAATATTTTGCTTAATTTAAGCAAGTTGCAAGTAAGATATAAGAATTTCTGACTTTTTTTTTGCACTAATGTTGTTAAAACTAGGCAAGAAAAACTTTCTTACCCCATAGGCAGATTTTTTTTGCTTATAACAAGAACATTTGTCTAATTTTTAGTCATTTTTTTTTTCTTGTTTCTAGTCAGGCACTTTTTGCAGTGTAAGGCTCACCCATGATTAACTCAAGCATATTCTATTCTTCTCTGTTGAAAAGAGTGTTCAACACAACCAGTTAAATATTTGTTATTTTCTTTCCCTCTATGGTGTGGTTTCATGACATGTCCATTTTTTTTACATATTCATACAAATCTTAATAAGTAATTTGTAAATGTTTAGTAGAACATAGACAAGCTTCACTTTAGAATAGCTCCCACAAAATACTTAAGTAAGCAGTTATAACTGATGAGTTAATCATGAGTAAGGCTTAACAAATCATTTGTAAATATTTAGTAGAGCATAGACAAGCTTCACTTTAGAATAGCTCCCACAAAATACTTAATTAACCAGTTATAACTGATCAATTAATCATGAGTAAGGCTTAACAAATAATTTGTAAATGTTTTTTAGAGCATAGACAAGTCTCTCTTTAGAAGAACATATTGCGTCCATGAAGGGTGGTCGTCATGTGGTAAGTGTAAACACCCCCTGCTTAACCTATTCTAACTACCATGTACAAGTGCTTAGTAACTGATCAATACTGGGGAATAACCCCATTAAGAAATGAGTAACAAATCATTAGTTGAGTATGTGGGTTAAGAATTTGATACATTTGGGTGTAACAATGCTGTTACATATTAAAAGTTGATGAGTAGTAATGAATTAGTAATGATTTACTAATGATGACCAAAGACATTAAATAATGTATTTACTAATGATTAAATCACATGAAAAAAAATAAGAGGTAAGTGTACAAATGATTAACCAATGTGTTAAATAATGCTTAACAAATGGCTGTAAGATGACTTCTTCACCATGGACAAAGCATTAACATATACATCTATAAATGATTAACTGATGAGAAATAATTAAGAGTTAACAGTTTACTAATGATTAACAAATGTATTAAATAATGCTTAATAAATGCTTAATAAGAAGGAGTTATTATAAAGTGCTACCGAGAAATCCACTAACTCAGACAGATCCACAAACACAGATACATACTTGACCAGCAGGGGGCAGCAGCTGGCACACAAAACATTTGACACTGCTGAATTGGAAGCATCTCTTGCTAACTTAACGTCATTTAGGCTAATGTTTACCTTTATTAAACGCCTCAGCAGCTAAGGACTAAACCAGAACTGAACCAGGACTGAACTAGGACAGGACTAAACCAGAACCGAGTGTCTGAACGACCCAGAGTTTTGCCCGCGCAGACCGTCAGGTGACCGCGGGTGAAAGAGCTCCGAGCCCCGCAGGGCTAAACCATGGATCTATTTAAATAATTTCCCTCTCTCAAGTCAAAAATTAGTCCTGGTTTAGACCTGTTTTAGTCCTGGTTCAATTCTGGTTCAGTCCTGTTTTAGTTCTGGTTCAGTTTTGGTTCAGTTCAGGTCTAAACCAGGACTAATCTTTCACTTGAGAGAGAGAGAGGACTTCTGCGGCTTCTCCGCAGCTCGGGGTCCTCTCGGATGTCCCCAAAGTGTGTTTGGGGAACGGCTACATTTAGCCCAGCGGGGCGCAGAGCTCTGTCGCCCATGGTCACCCCGTCAGTCCTGTTTTAGTCCTAGTTCAGTCCTAGTTCAGCCCTGGTTCAGTTCTGGTTTAGTCCTGCTTTAGTTCTGGTTTAGTCCTTAGCTGTTGAGGCATTTGATAAAGGTAAACATTAGCCTAAGTGATGTTAAGTTAACAAGAGACGCTTCCATTTCAGCAGAGTCAAATGTTTCGTGTGCCAGCTGCTGCCCCCTGCTGGTCAAATATGTGTCTGAGTTAGTGGATTTCTCAAAGTGAGTGTCTCAAAATTATGTCATACCTGAAATCGGTGGATTTGTGTAACTGGTGATCCACAAATGCAAATCACATTTTACAAACTGAATTTTTAGCAAATAAAGAAAGATATATTTACAAATACACATCTATTTGTAAATACCAAAATACAAGTTTCAAATATTAAATTTACATTTGTGGATCAAAACACATGTACAAACCAATGACAATTTGTAGATCACCATCTGTGTATTTGTGAATATTAATGAGACAAAAATAACCCCATAGAAGTAGTATACCGGAGATATCCAACATGTTCAAAAATATCACCAAAGGCCATTGTAGGGTCCTCCTTTTGCAGCTGTAAGTATTCACCAGTTTATCAAGGTTGTCCACCCCTCCTTTTATGACATTACAGTCCATGACCATTTCGGGTTTGAAATGCTCCTGGCTGCAGATTCCGCCGTCCCTGTGCAGTGTACTCATGAGCACCACATTTTTCCTTTCTTTGGTACATATGATACCACGGTTGTGTCAACCATGTACGCAAATTTTGATGACTGGACAGGCCAGTCCGTCAGTTTCAGCAGCTGGGGACGGAGCTCAGGCTTGTTTTTGCGTGCTGTTCCCAATATTCCACTATTTTCTATTTTCCGATGGAACGATGAAGTGGCAACTGAAGAAGAAGAACTACAACGTGAAATGAATAATGACAAAACAATAAATTACTTTTACTTACGTTTCCAACTTCCCCGTTCCTTTACTTTTCACGTTGTTGTAGTTCTTCTTCTTCTTCACTTGCCACTTGATCGGTCCGTCGGAAAATAGAGTCCCGCGGTCACTTCCGTTGTGGCTTTTTGATGTGTTGTGACTTTTTAATGTGTTGCGGCATTTGCTTTTGTGTTGTGGCGTTTGTATTTGTTGCGGCGTTTGCATTAAAATAGAGTCCCACGGTCATTTCCGTTGTGGCTTTTTGGTTTGTTGTGGCTTTTTGTTGTGTTGTCGCATTTGTATTTGTTTGCGTTTGCGTTTGTTGTGACCCCTCTCGGCTTTCGTAGTTAAGGACTAACTGACACATCTAGAGCATAGCAGCCAGGAATCAAAGATTTTTTTTAGTAACATAACATTAATATTAACTGGCTCAAAATGACTAAAAGAGATAAAGTCATAAACCTTTAAACAGATATACGTAAAGGCTGCTGTGGACAGTTCGAAGAGTCTGTGTTTAACCCAATTCGCTGGGTTGTTTGAGAAGATTTCACGCAGAATGCAGGCTAGACCGGACAAAACGTGGGAAAATGTCTATCATTATGTTCCATTTGAAATGATCCAACCTTTTGACCGTTTGGGTTAAGCAATACGACCCAACTCTGTGAAAATAACCCAAAAAATGACTCAACAGCCCTAACAGCAGTTGGGTTGAAAAAATACTCCAGCAATTTTTTAGGGAGTATGATTACCTCCAAGATGCCAGTAAACCTAAAGTAGGAGTTGAGTATCCCACTTATCACCCTGATCACCTAATAACAATGTAATGGATTTATAGCACCTTTCGTAACACCAAAACCAAAAAGTTTCTTGACCGAGGACACAGTGTCAGTGAAACTCTAGAATAATACTCTAAGAAAACCACAAGCTTCTATTTTCAGACCAAGTTTTAGTTTGTTTTCATACCTGATAGTTTTGACTCCTCACTGTTGCTTCACTGAAAAATTAGAAGACCAAAAGAACCTCACTGCACTGCTACTCTTGAAAAAGTGTCCTTTGTCCTTGAAGTATTGTATTTTTTGGATGCTCCTCAGTTCTACACAAATATAAATCCTGTCAGTCATGTTTTAGTCCTGCTTCAGTCTTGGTTTTGTCTTGGTTTAGCCCTGGTTCACTAGGCCTGTCACGATAACACTTTTTGAAGAGCGATATATTGCTGAAGAAAATATAGACAACAAGCGATAATATTGAAAATAAATGATACCACTGACACACCAACACTTAAGCAGGATTATAAAGTAAATAAATAAAAAACTCTGTGAGAAACATTGTTAAAAAAATGATCTGGAATCAATTAGTATGAGAGGACAAGAGGAACAGAAATCATTTATTTAACCATTTACACCACAAACCTCATTGTAGCACAGAAAAATAACTAAAAGTTATCCTCTAGTACAGAGAAAAAGTATCCAAGATAAATATAGACATGACACAAAAAATATTGTTCCGTCATTCATCTAATTAATGGTAAGCCAAGATCCTAATTAAAATGACAGGCCTATGGGTCTATCCTGGTTTGGTCCTAGTTTAGTCCTGGTCCTGTCCTTCTTTAGTCCTGGTTCAGTCCTGGACACATCTACAGCTTGTGGAGAGAATCTCTTTCACTCTGGTTCTCCTCGAGTTTCCCAGTGGGTTTTGGAAGTTCTTCTTTGAGAAAGACGGTCTAATAACAATGGTCCTGTGAATGATTATCCTTTGACATATCTTTTAATCTGTATTCTTTTTATCTTTTGATTGCATTCAGTCCTTGTGTAAGGATTATTTTCTTTTATGCTAACACGCCATACAAAGGAGCAGCTCTAAATTAACAATAATTGACTATTCTTGTAGTAGAGGTGTAACTGTAATTTGTTCATCTAGTAATTATTATTTCTGTAATAACAGTGGTGTGGGTGTTGCCTAGCAGCTGAGAAAACTCACTGTAATGAAATTCAGGTCTTTACTATTTATTACGCAAGAAAAGAAGCAGCACAGATTTGTGCACACGTCAAAGCAATAATTACATTTTATTTTCTGCTATTAAAATGAAAACATTGTT